CCTCAAATATGGGGTCTATCGTAAAACCGTTGGCTGGAGCAGTGTAGGTCGGACTCATCTACAGCCCTGCCTAATTTCATGTTGATTGGTGCAGCCGTTTTTGTGCTACTGTTGACCAAAAATCACTGAAGAAAAAAAAAAACAGTACGAAAACAATATGACTCCCACTTACGCTTCGCGTGCGGGGGTCATAATTAGCCTCACAGGTCCACCTGACCCTAAAACTAACCTAAACCTTGGTCCACACCCATAATTTGCATTTGGACCGGTCCCCACTATTCACTTCGGTCCCCACAAGGCTGCTTTTTTTGGAAAAATTCTTCCCATGCCCCCCCCCCAACACACACACACACACTTTAATTTATGTACTTTGAGGATGTATACGTTTTTATGTTTGTTTTTACAATTGTTGGGGCTGTTCGTGTTGGTATTATATATTTGTGTGCATATTAGCATTATTTGCATGCTTTAACTAGTCACAAATCTCTACAACTTTTATTTTAGAGATAAGCTAATAAATAAATAAATAAATAAATAAATAAATAAATAAATAAATAGGGAAACCCCAAGTCTAGATCTTCCTCTTTAACACAATAGTTTACTACCTATCCATTTCTGGTGGGAAGCCATTTCAATACATAAAAAAGCTTTCTAGAACATTGCTTGGGGTGCTACGTCGCTAACTATTAAATCACATTTTAGGTTTATCACCAAATCATTAATCAGAAACAGAAAACACAATGAAACATTATTTTTTATTATTAACTTCTATTTAAAACAGGCAAATCCCACTGAGATCACAGATCTCTTCTGCAAGGGAGGAAACCTATTGTACATGTTTCTGGTCTGCGTGGGAAACCGGAATACCGGGAGAAAACCCACGCAAACACGAGGAGAATGCATCCAAACTACACACAGAAAGATTCCAGGTCTGAACTGGGGGGAATCTAACCCAAGACCTTCTTGCTGTGAGGCATCAATGCTCAACACCGAGCCGTCGTGCTGCTCCATTAAACGCTCTACAACATGTGAGTTTGAAGCTTKTGTGTGTAAAAACACTTTCATCAAACTGTCATCAAACTCCAAAAGATGATTACAACTCAGATGGAAAAAAAAAAAAGGCACACGCTGCTGCTTTTGTCTTCTGGGAGTGAATCTAACAACAGCAACATAATAAAAAGGCAGTCCTGTGAGTTACAAACTGACGTCAGACACAAACATAAAACCCAGGAAAGAGAAATGACAGATGCATCCCAGGCTTGTCTATTCTGCACACGTGGATCAATAGATGTATAAATGTGCTGCAGGTAAGCAAGAACTTGCTTAGTTAACAACCTCCTGCAGGAAATGCCCCTCAAACTAATTTTCATCTGCCTGTGAAGACGAGCAGGGCAGACTACAAGTACAACAAACAGCTTATGTCAGAGTTACATCTTTATTTTTATGTGTTTAATACCAAATCTTATTTTTACTGGGACATTCGAGGTTATGTTGCCATGGAGGTGGACAGTATCTAGTGTTAGACATGGTAAGTTTCAAAAGGGAATGCAGTTACCCTGGAAACAGCCAGGAGCGAGCTGAAGCCTCCGAGGAAGAAAACAAGAAGCAAGCAGTCAATAAGACAGAGACAGCATAATGACATCCATTGTGAGGTGGAAGATCTCAACAAGCAATTTAGGTGATTAAAACCAAGAAGGGAGTTTTGGATATGAGCCAAAACTAATGCCAAATCCCATGCTGACCCCAAAGAAAAAAATGTTCAAAAGAGTTCAAGTCTACAGCCCAAGAGAGTAGGGTTGGGCGATAAATCGATTTAATCGATTAATTCGAATTTACCATTTATAAAGATTTAATTTAGGGAAAATCAAGATTTTTTTCCCCACCAGTGCACTCTTTGGGGCTTCTGTAGTTCAGAGGTCACCCCGCCTGTCCCTCAAGATGCTTGGTACACGACATGACAATATGGCAGCTAGCAAAGAGGATCTACATCTCAAAAAAAAGGCACTGTTTCTTCAGTTAACTGGAACTGGTTTGGTTTTGTAAC